CTGATTTTGATATGCAACCTAACCTCAAAATTGAAAATTTATAAAACAGTTATTCGCTCCGTGCGAAGTCATGGAAAGGGAAGCAAAAGCGATACTAGCGCTAGCTGCGGATAATTCGTGCATTTTAGGGGGATATTTTGTAATTTTGGCATATCAAATACACGTATACATTTTACTTTTTTTTTTAAAAACTAGGTAAAAACAACACAATAAGCAACCGGAGTTGCTGTGTTAAAAATTGTACAAATACTAGCAAAAAAAAAACAGTGAAACTTATATAACAAATTTCACTAACAAAGTGGAAATTAAGTCAAAGAAATAAATGGATAGGTGTACAATAAAAAGAAAAATTACCTTTATTTTTGTGATAATAACAGTAATGCTGGAAATAGTAGACATCAGAAACTAGAAAGTTTTTAAATAAACAATAAATTATCATTTTACGATGTTCTTTAATATCCCTTTATTCTTAAATGTTCATTCAGCAAGGACTAGATTTCAAGATTTCTGCCGTTGATTATAATATTTGGCTGGTATGCAATTTTGTGACTTACTGATCGGAAACCAGTTTTAATCATTCATTCTATGTTTTCTGTAGAACAAAAATGAAAATATAAGTAGCGATCCTTTTTATACATTTTAACTTCACGCTATTATAAATGGTTTCTTCAATGACAACTTATTAGACTTAGGCAACTTCTCATACATTTTCCAGTAAATACTGTTGCCTGCCTATATTTTATTATTGATTTTTAATGATTATACATAATTTTCTTCAATTTAAGCGTGAAAAATATATAATAATAATAATAAATTAATGTTTTAATTGTTTTATAAATCCATATACTTTTATTAAAACTAACATATATACTTTTTATTTACGAATTCTATTAAAAATTGTATTTGTCAGTATAGGCAGAAATACTCCTTTAATACCAAAACAAATTGGCGCTGCTGTCGCGCACGGAGCGAATAAAAGTTTAAAAAAACATTTGTTTAAAGTCTGTGTAAATGTGTAGTAACTGTTCGGTAACTGCATTCAACAAATCTTATAGAATTTACAAAAGAACCAAATAGTTCTGTAATACTGCGCCCATTTTGTGTTTATTACTGTTGAAAGAATGTTCCGGAAATGTTCTTAGCTAATATTCTATTTTATAAATTTTGTTCTTTAAAAATTTTTTCAGCTTTTATAAAATATCAAATTGTTACTTGGGTACTTGGTATATATCTAATTTATTTGGTCGTCATCTGCTCTGCTCGGCTTTTTCCTAGGTCCTCTGTTCTCTTTGATTATAGAGAAATCATCCTTTTTTTATTATAATATATTTACCTTTTTTTATTACTTTATTGAATTCTTCCAATTTTTAACATTTTTAAAGAATCCAAATCCGTTCTAACAAATTCATTTAAAATCCCGTTATTTTTTTCCCTCAACAAAAAATCCTTTTTATTCTGACAATTTAAAAAAAAAATCACATGATATCCTGATTACTGTTTTTAATTTTTTCTTTTAGAAAATTTATCGCTTCTGATACGTTTTCATGACTTCAATAATTTCTATATCAATATATTCATGTGGAAACACCCAGAATACAAAAAAATTAAATTTTGTCGGAGATTCTAAAAAAAGGGTGGTTCGTTATCTAAAAATTTATAAAAAAATGTAAATTAAAGTTAAAAAAATTACTTTGTAGTTACTTTCTTCTTTGCTCACTCATGTTCTCCTTTGTTCTTGCATTGCTCTTCCTTTTCTTCTTTTAGTGTCTGTTCTAGATTGTTTAACCTTCCGGGAGTTACTCAATCTTTGTACAGAGTAACTGTATTTTCCCTACAAATTCTAATGTTGGTTCAATTTTTAATTAACACTTTTTTTTAGGAGCACCAAGTGTCAAACTCTCCAACAAACGCCTGAATATTGACGGTGGCACTGCAACCGCAATAGAGGAATATCCATTCGTAGCTTCCGCTCAATGGTGTGTTTTAGGCGTTTGCGAACACGTTTGCGGTGCTGTAATCGTCAACGAAAACTGGGTATTGACCAGTGGTAGTTGTGCAGAAGACGCTCAAAAGGTTGCTGTTGGAGCTTCTAACTTACACGGAAAAGACAAAGTTACCGTTAAAATTGCAGCTAAATATGTTCATCCTAAGTACACCGATGGGTAAGTTCTTGTAACTCTGTTTCCGAAGAATTTGAAATGATTTGCCTGAAACGTTTATCTAAAATGTATGTAAAAAATAGCAATTTTTTCCAGACTCGGTCCAAATGATGTTGCTCTACTTCAGTTATCTGAAGCACTGACCTTTAACATCAGAGTACAACCAGCAAAATTACCAACGCAAGGCCAAGAATTCAACGGAACAGCTGTTGTGGTTGGTTATGGTAGCACTTTACTCCCAGATTTTAACAACCTTAAAGTTTCCCCTGATGTAACGCTTATTTCGAACGATGGTAAGTATCTTTTAGCATAAAAATAAGATTACTGAACATTTTAGTTAATTATAGTAAATAAAATATACTATAAATTCTCTTTTATCGTTTTAGAATGTAACGCAGCTATCAAACAACTCATCCCAGACGATGATAGTCCTGTAGATGACGACAGCAACGTATGTACCTTAAACGAAAAATCAAACACTTGCGATGGTGACGTCGGTGGTCCTCTGTCTCAAGACGGAACCGTAATCGGTATCGTCACATGGTACATTGACCCATGCGGTACCAATGGAGCTCCAAATGTATTTACCAAGCTTTCTAATTTTGCCAACTGGATCAACCAAACTATTACCGAAAATAGTCAAATTGAATGATTTTTTAAATAAATGATATATTTTATTACCTATTTTGTTAAAATAAAGATATTTTATTAAGTAATAATGTTGACTTGGTAAAAAATATCATAGGAAATATATCTGTGAATTTAGAACATGATGCAGAGTTGGGCCTCTGGATTTGTTTTCCGAAAACGCATTATTTTAAAAGTTAGGGTTAATGTTTGAATACTAGGTAAAAATAATATGATGTCTATGATATTAGGTATTAACGACTCTTTAGCATATATAGGGTGTCTCAAAATTTCATGTACATTGAGCTAATGTATATTGATGAGATCAAAATAAGTCGTTTGAGCCTATATCAAAAAGAGCTTTGTTTTCCTGTGAGAAGGCTTCAAAGTTGAAAGAACATTTTCAATTTTTTTTAATAATTCAAAAAAGTTTTGTTTAGTTTTTATAAAATTTAGTATGTAGCCATTTTAATTCGAGAGCCATTGTTCTAAGCAAAAATTACACCAACTGAAATCATGAAAGGGTAGTAGTAACCACCCTAATTCTACTATAAATGATATCGTATTAGTTTTGTTGGTCGCCTCGGCCCTTTTAATAGTCTAACATACTTTTTGTCACATTTTGTTCACTAATAGAGAATGAAACTACAGTATGCATTGCTATAATTTTGGTTTGAAAAATTTCAATATTACTTGACTTTTAAAGCTATCTGCATATACAGATACCCATGAATTTACTCAGGATTAGTACCAAAATGTCACAAAGCTTTGGCCGAAGTATCCATCAACAATGTGGTCAATATAAGATGGATCAAAGGTCACGCTACATCGAAAGGTAACCGTCTTGAAGATTCACTTGCCAAGAAAGCAGCCAACCAAATACTTTTTGGATACACACATCCTTCCTTCACGTGTATTTTGTAACCAGTGTGTATGACGTACGTAGTTTTTGTGACTACTTTCATTTTAATTTAAGACACATAAACTTGCTTTGTTAATTTTTATGTAAAATAATTTTATAAACTTTATTTTGGAAATAGTTACCATAATTATAATATTAAGAATAAATATAACACCCTGTGAATAGGTATGTTATGATTTGTAAAGTTTTGTCCAAAGGCATGCGCGCTAAATAGATTTTCAATAAAATAATAAAACGTGTAGTGGGACAAGGTTTTATTAAATCATAATATTAAAGTACAGGGACAAGAAAGATCAACAAGAGCATTCTTGGAAAATTACAAGTTAATTTTCGGGGGTTCCTTTTGGTTTTTGTTGACAAGCGATCGTAATCATTCGTGAATTCTTTTTCTTGTGTCGGAAAGTAGAATCACGGGTCAGTCACGCGAAATCGTGATTAGTTTTTTTGTAAAGCCACACAGTGAGAAAAGTAACGTATACCTCAGCCAGCCTTGCAGCCTAAAATGTTCAGGTAAGTAACTAGTTTTGAGTAGTAATACTTGGTTTTGTGTAGTCAGCAAAGACTACTGAATTGCTGAAGCAATACTAGTTGTTTCTATATTTGTTAAATAAATCATAGTTATTTGTTTTACGCTTGTTGTTTCAATTATTTTGGTTTATGAAAACTCACGATCATTCAAAGGCGGGGGTATAGGCTTAGTCAGATCTCTAAGAGAGAGAGAGAGGTACTGCCAAAGGAAATAGTCCCTGTAGGGCAAACCCTTTCCCCGCCCTCTGAATCATCGTCAAGAAGTTAGGGTTCCTTAGGCCCATCCCGTCTCAACTTAACCCCCTAGCCGTGTGTTATCTAGAGGTCAATTTAAATACAAATTGGGCCCCTCTATATAACCCGTGGTTACCGCTAAGAATGGACTTTAGGGTCAGTTAAAATGGCCTATAATCTCACTCTTAACAATAATTCGTATTTTCAGTTTAAATTATATTCTAAAAAGAGTATTCCTAAGAAATAACCATGCAATTATTATGTAGCACACGACTATAAATGTAAAATAGAAGGAATCCTAGGCCCAGTGCCCCTAACCAAATAAGGAGGCCACGCTTACAATATAAACATAGTAATTTAATTTAGATAATACTTAAACACATTTTTAAAATAATAATATTTGTAACTTTAAAAATGTTATCGAAATTATTGCCTACGTCATAATATAACAATGATTGTATATTCTATCAATGATAATTAAAGAGATTTACATTGATAAAAATGATTATCAATTTTTTTAAGGACTGCATCATACTTAAAAAATCTTATAAATTAGACAAGAATATTTTGTCAGTAATCATAAGTTACAAAATGTTCACTGCTAAAGTTATCTTCCTCGCTTTTGTAGCGGTATGCTATGGTAAGTAATCATAATCTTTTATGCGATTTTCATAAACTTAGACTCTTTTAATTCCACACAGTCCATAGCATCAATAATTGAGTGCTAAGGCTAGGTATGTACCTATTATGCCATTCAAGAATTTAACAAAATTAAATAGTTATAATAATATAATTTTAAATATTAGGGTATAAATAACTAGAGGATCTAACAACATAATAATTTACATGTTTAATTATACATTTTTTAAAATTCATTATTTGGTTTAAAGCAATTCAAAAACAATAGTTGTAATAGTTATTGAATTGAAAATAAAAAAGGAATATTTGTCGACATATTTTGCGCTAGAGCCACGGCCCTTTGGTCCCTAAAGCAAGCCGCCAATGTGTGTTGTGTGCGTAGGATTCGATCATAGATATATAACCAAGACAGATAGGAATATTTACAAAATTTTTGAAGAATGAACGGTGGTGTCCGCGGTAGAAACTCATAATCGGATTGAACATTGATGCCAAGTTTAAGTGCTTTTAACTATAGATATATATAACCAATACAGATTACACAATTTCTGAAGTCAACGATGATGATCCTCGACAGAAATGCAATATTTGGATAAAATTAAAATATTGATGCCAAGTTTGCGATGTTTTTAACTGTAGTAATGTTATTGCGTTTGCTTGAATTACTGTTAGGTCTTTAAATTGTCCAAAAAAAAAAAAATAATGTCTGACAACAGCGGAAGTAGAGTAGACCGCAATTGTGGAGGGTCGTATATTGTTTCATTCATAAAAATTCCTTCGATACAGTACTAGTCCAGGAGCCAGTGAATTTTTTCGTACTTGTTTTCCCGGTCCGTGTATATTTAAATAATCTATTCCCGGTGAACTGTATATTTAAAATGGAACGCCAATCTATTAACAAAAGTAAGCCAGATTGAATTCGCGCATTACGTCACATCGATACAAGTGAGATTGTTTATAAAGTGCCTTTGCAGGCCTATTTTGCCCATTTCATGTATTTGTTTTTAAATCATGTTAAATTACTATTTTTGAAACTCAACAAGGAGAAAATCCAATTAACTCTTCCGTTCTGTATATACAGGGTGGCTCACGCTCAACGGGACGGAGCTTTATGGGAAAACGACCAAAGATATAAAAAATTCGTTTGGGAGGAATACGTAGGTTACAGACGGCTACAATTTAAAATTTGTTAGATGTATACAGGATGTGTATATAAGATAAATTAACTGAAGTTTTATTAGTAAAGTATTAATACTAAAATTTTAATGTAATTTACAGAAAATAGCTAGGTATGTATTTGTTTTTAAATAATTTGATAATTTATGAAAAAAGGAGTAAAAGTGGAATGACCAGTGGCCAGTAGGTTAGTCAATACAAAGTATCATATATTTCTATTATAACATAACTAAAATACCTACATCTTTTAATCATAAGGACATAAGTTAAAAAAACATTTTATATATGCATTAGAATGAAGTAATAATAACTTAAAGAGACGAGGTCTTAAAGTAATAGCTGGTACAGCATGTTTTTTAAACGTTTCCTCATTGCTGCTAGAATGAAATCACTTACTATGAAATGTTCTCTATAAACAGCATTTATAGCAGTCAATGTTCAGTCTTAAGATCTCTTCCTAAAGCCCTCATCCAAGCTGCATACATATTAAAAAATAATTAAAAAAAAAAACATTATATACCTATATAGTTTTCGGTTCTGGGTGCCCTAAAAGAGGACACTTAGCCGACAATTTGGCTCAGATAGCTAAAACCCAAAAGTCACACCCCGAACCAGGATGTATTGCTATCCTTTTAAGTAAAAAATAACTACAAATAACTTACCTGAAAAATGAAGGCGTCTAACTTTACACCAAAAAAACCATACACTTTTTCCCATTGTTGCAAGCACCCGATGACGATTAGGTAGATATCAACTAGAAGTATGTACTTAATGGTTATAAAGCTTATTTTAACACAAAAAGAATAAAGCACTAGTCGAAAAGCGGCAATCAAATATAAATAGACCACGATATTAAAATTCAAATTAAAAACTATATAAAAGACAAATACTCTAAAAGCGCAAAAGATCAGAACCAAATAAAATGAATAACCATAATAACCTAAAAATCACACTAAAATTGCAAAAACTATTACTGTAAAATCATGAGATTACATCAATAATGCATATGCGTCGGAGTATCGCAAATTGTTTATGAAATTCTATTTCAATTTTGTTAAAAATGATTTTGTGAAGGTTAAAAAGTTTTCTTAGTTCTTAGGTTCAAAATTAGCAAATCTTACATAATATAATAAGAAGGCAATTGTTGTATAATAGTAAAAGGAGCCCAAGATCATTTTTTTTTCAAGATTTATGGTCTTAAAAATTTCCTACTAGTTTAACTCATGTACTGTTTATTAAGCGTGTTTGTTTAGTTCGTATTTGTTACTATTTAACAGAATAGACCCCTTATTATTTTCTACTTTTCTTTTAGGAGCACCAAATGCTAAATTCTCCAGCAAGGGTCTCAAGATTTACCCTGGCGATGAAGTCAAAATAGAAGATTATCCATACGTAGCTTCAATCCAATATTGTAGTCGAACTTATCATATCTGTCATCACATTTGCGGTGGTGTAATTATCAACAAAAACTGGGTATTGTCCAGTACGGGTTGTATATTTGAAGGTTATAAGGTTATCGTTGGAGATTTGCCCGGAAGTGAACCAGTTACTGTTGATATTGAAGCTAAATACAGATATCCTAACTCCACCGATGAGTAAGTTCTTGTAACTCTCTTCGAAAAGTATATTAAATGGTTGTTCTTTACCAATAATATCAAATTGTTTTTTAGGTACGGTCCAAATGACGTTGCTCTATTTAAGTTAGCTAAAGAACTCATCTTTAACGAAAAAGTGCAACCAGCAAAATTGCCAACGCAAGGCCAAGAATTCAGCGGCACAGCTGTCGTGACCGGTTACGGCACCAGTTACGAGGCTAACCAAAACATACTCAGAGCAGTCCCTAATGTAACACTTATTTCTAACGATGGTAAGTATCTTTTAGCAGCACGAGCAGAAAAATGAGATCCAATATTTTTATTTTAAAATAACTTTATATATTGAAATTTATTTATTTATTTATTTATTTACGGGCAAGCCCATTTGAGAAATAAATTACAATTTTAAAATTATAATTAAAATGTAGTGAAATATATATGGTGTTGAAATACAATCGTGGTATAATTCATAAAATAGGTTAAGAATTTAAAAGATTTAAAAGACAAAAGACAATAAGGTTGAATAAAATAATTACATTAAACATTAAAATTAAAGATTAAAAATTAAAGCTCAGTACTAAGTAATTGCTTCATAAATGTATGAAAGGGGGTGTTAAATATCTCAAGATCGTTATGAGTGTTGGCTAATCTTAACATTCTTGGAATACAGCTGCTAAAAGTATGGTTTAAACGATAAAAAGGTACATAAAATGTTTGTTACTGTCGAGTTGAGCGCGTTGGAACATAAAGATTTATTTTTGTTAGAAGTTCAGTACAGCTGCATTTGCCATTGATAATTTTGAAAAGTAATGTCGGGTCTCTCTGTTTCCTCCTAGTTTCCAAAGAGGGGATGTTTAGAAAATTCTCTATCAAATCATACTCGCAAAGGACACCCAATTTATAGGCTATGTATCTAAGAAATTTATGTTGCACATTTTTTATGTTTCTGCTGTGCGTTATGTAATGTGGAGACCAGACAGAAGAGCAATAATCTAGGTGAGGTCGGACTAGTGAACAATAAAGGCCTTTGATTGCAGTTGTGTCAGTAAAATCATGTGTTAGACTTTTGATAAAACGTAACATTTTCATGGATTTATGGATAGCCTTAGGTATGTGTTGATTGAAGCTTAAAGTGGGATCTAGAATAACTCCAAGGTCTTTAATTTGATTAACAGACTCCAATATATGACCATTTAAGTTATAATCAAAAGTAGTAGTTGGTAAATGGGATCGATAAAAGCGCATGACATGGCACTTTATAGCATTCAAATCCATGCCATTTAAGGTACACCAGTTTGATAGATTATCAAGGTCAGACTGAAGCCAGAGGGCATCATAAATGGTTTTAATAGTTAGGAAAACTTTTAAATCATCTGCAAACAATAGTGCTTTGCCATACTGAAAACAATGAATGATGTCATTTATAAATAAGTTGAATAATAGGGGACCAAGGTGTGATCCTTGAGGAACACCTGAGGTAACTTGAAATGAGTTTGAATAGTGATGGTTTACTCTAACCATTTGAGTTCTGTTCGTAAGATAGCTACTAATCCATTGCAGTAAGACCCCATTTATGCTATATTTATCGAGCTTTTGAAGTAAGAGAGAATGGTTAACCCTGTCAAAAGCCTTAGAAAAGTCAGTGTACACAGAATCAATCTGGCAACCCTTCTCCAAAGCTTCCGACAGGAAGTGGACGTAGGTAACTAGATTTAATTCGGTCGATTTCCCAGCACAAAAACCATATTGATGATCCGTTATGATGCCAGAGCAATCATAGGTAAGGTAGTCTGTTATAATGTTCTCAAAAACCTTAGGTACAGTACTGAGAATAGATATAGGTCGGTAATTTTTGATGTCTGACTTGCTACCCGATTTGTATATTGGAGTAATAATAATAATACTCTCCCTAATTCACCCCCTTACGAGTGAATTTTAACCCCAAAAGCTGAGCTTGTCCGGGGAAAGGGACGGCTATTATTATTATTTGCCGTGGCGCTCCGGGGCGACTTAAAGATGATTGATGGTGCCATTTGACTTACAGGTGAGGAAAACCCGGAAAACCTCACCCACCATCATCGAGACGGTAATGTATGGCGAATTTTTTTAATCTGCATGTCATATCAACAGAAATTGAATTTCTATTAATACGCCACACATCAAATCCTAAACCGAACCATGCAATTTAATTAAAAATCCACATGGTCTGGTCTGGGATTCGAAACCCAGCAGTCTCAGACTCATAAACTTGCCTATAAATGAATATAAGCGCGATAGACCGCTACACCACCGTGCCCGAGTGACATAAGATAGTTTCCAATAATCTGGAAACTCACCTGTGGCGATAGATTTATTGAAAATATAGAAAAGAGGGCGAGACAATACGAAGCTGCAATTTCTGAGTAGGATGGCAGGAATAATGTCAGGACCTGGACCTTTCTTTATGTCAAGATTAGATAATTTCTCGTAAATGGTCGAAATAAGAATGTGGTAAGAGGAAACATTAAGTTTTGATTCGATATCGTTAAAATTTTGATTTAGATTTTGATTAGTGTAAACTGATGAAAAATGCTTGGCAAACAGATTTGATACTTCACTGCCACAAGAAGCGAAAGAGTCGTCAAGGTTCATATTATCAGGTATGGTGTTACTAGATCTTTTGGTACTTAAAAAATTTCAAAAGGCTTTAACATTACTTTTAATAGAAGTTTCAACAGAATGTATGTAATTTGAATAGCATTCTCTAGATATAATCCTGCATTGTGATCTTAATTGACTAAATATTTTATAATTTTGGGGAGTTCTGTTTAGCTTGTAAATCTTATGTGCAACCTTTTTATCGTTTACCAAGCTTCTGAGTTGAAAAGAATACCAATGTGGGAATCTGTTTAAAACAAAGCGTCATAAAAAGTAAGAATCATTTCTGAAAGTTCCTTTCCTTGAAGAAGCGCATCCCAATCCATTGCCTCCAAACATTGGCGTATACCCTCAAAATTGGCGTGACGAAAATCATAATAATACTCTTCTCCAGGAGCATCACTTGAGTTTATCTTATATTGAATTGACGTTTCAAGAGGAGGATGATGAACATCAGGTGGGATCAATATATAATAATAATAATAATAATAATACTCTCCCTAATTCACCCCCTTACGAGTGAATTTCAACCCCTGAAGTCGACTGAACGACTTGTGTAGGGGAAGGGACGGCTATTATTATTATTTGCCGTGGCGCTCCGGGGCGACTTAAGGATGATTGATGGTGCCATTTGACTTACAGGTGAGGAAAACCCCGAAAACCTCACCCACCATCATCGAGACGATAATGTATGGCGATTTTATAATCTGCATGTCATATCAACAGAAATTGAATTTCCATTAATACGGCACACATCAAATCCTAAACCGAACCATGCAATTTAATTAAAAATCCACATGGTCTGGTCTGGGATTCGAAGCCCAGCAGTCTCGGACTCATAAACTCGCCTATAAATGAATATAAGCGCGATAGACCGCTACACCATCGACCCGATCAACGGCTACCATCACTAAAAGTTCCACCGGGGATAAAACAAGGTCGAGGATAACTCCTCTTTGGTTGAGCACTTTGTTGGACTGGAAAAGATTGTAAAAAGCACATATGTTCGAGACGATTTCGATAGCACTTTCTTCCGATAGTGATGAACTGGGATGAGCTGAAGCTGAAGAGCAGAAATCTTCAATATCCCATGTTGCTGTAGGTAGATTATAATCGCCAAAAATGTAAAACTGACTGACCGGATGTTGCTCATGTAGCATTAAAAGTTGATCAAAGTAAAGTTGGTATAGATTAGAATTAGATTTAGGAGGCATATATATGGCCCCTAAAATATGTTTGCAGTTTCTGTGGTCCAAGTGAATAAACAGTTGCTCAATAGATGGGTTAGAGTTGATGATACTCGAGGAGAACGTTTTCCTAACAGCTATTAAAACACCTCCACCTCTGCTAAAGATGCTGGACTGGGGGGAACGATCATGTCTGTAGATATTAAAACCGTTAAGACCAAGTTCGGCGTCGTTGATATCAGCTGTGAGCCATGTTTCAGTAAGAATAATTAAATCGTAGGAAGAATTTGTAACATTGAGACATAGTTGGGATAGTTTTGTTCGAAGGCCTCTACCGTTCTGGTAATAAACAGCCAGCTTGCCCGAATCTAGTTTTTTGTAATAAATACAGGAGTATTGTTGACATATTTAATTGTTAAGTTTTCCTTATACAGTGTGTTAAAAAAAAGTGTCACAAAATAAAATGGTGAATAGTATGACCCAAAATAAGCAGAAAAGTCTTAATAAATATATGACCGCAAATTAACGGTTTCGGAGATACGGACCATTTTGTGTTTATAACAATTTTTTATTATTATAAAAAAACAATGATATTTATAAACAATCAATAACAACATAGAGTTAAATGAGATGTTCAAAGTGCCCTCCCTCCATTTCAATGCATTGCCATTTGCACGACCGTACATAAAATGCATGTCAGCTATTCAATATTAGTGTAAACAGGCATAACGAAAATTTATAAAATTATTCACCCACAACAAAATAATAACTGCAAATAGTATCTATGAAAAAACATCGGTAGACTCCGATAAGAAAAGCAAGTTTTTGAGAATGAAAAAAGATAATAAAAAAATGATACAAAACACAAAACACTCCGTATCTCTGAAACCATTCATTTGCGGACATATGTTTTCTGCATATTTTGGCCCATACTACCCCCCGTTTTATTTTGTGACACTTTTTTTAACACCCTGTATATATTAATATAATATTATATAATATAATTTTTTAAATATAACTAATAAACATGACAGATAAATAAGTCATAAACTTTAGACAGATAAATAATAAATATATATATATTTTTTAATATTAATCAATTTGAAAATTTCTCTTTCCTGGCTTTGGTCTGCGCAAAAACGTCGATTACATCGTCATAATTAATTTCTTGGACTAGTTGAGCTTCAATAGACAGTAATGCAAGAGCATTGGCCCATGCTTATGCGTAAATAGGTTTTTACCCTTTTTAAAGTGGGAAAAGATATTTCTCCTGAACAAATTATAGCCGGAATACTCAAAAAAATACGAAGAGCAATGTCCACATTCGGATAAACATCTCAAAGACTCCGTTAATGCAATACATTGCATATTTTTTGTGTAGAGCGTACATCTTCCCTATTTGCTAAGGAATCTTTGAGTTGACAATGTAAACGAATACATTTATTGCCTAACATCTCTTCCAAATCGTCAGGATACTTTATTGGCAAGATTTTTCAATCTGTTTGTATCTATTTCAGATAAATCATTAAAAAAAATTGTTATTTTCGTAAATCTTTTCATATGCACTTTTACACCTGGCCAATTGTAGGTACACTCAGAGTATCTAGAATAGGGTAATAAACATTTGTGCGAAAATCTTCTTGTCCAGAAGAATGTGTTCTTTTATTTACTCGTGACCCATCTGGCTGAATTCTTCTGGTTTTTTTGCGACGAGTATCATAACGATAATAATCGTGAACTCCAGATAGTGCTTTGGTTTTTTCTTCATATTCAGAAAATCAGCTTGAGATTCTTGAAGCTTCTTACTAGCAGCATTAAAACGATATAAAATTACATTCCAAACAATGACTAGGATTGCTGTTTCTAAATACTGTAATTTTCGCTGCAATCCCGCAATAAAAGTTATATTCAATTCTCAGATATTTTATTTATAGATTTTTTTTGTGAATTTAAAAACTGTTAAATAAACTCTTTTTTTTAAACATATTTTACTGAAATTTTGATAAATTAATTTTCTTTGTAAACTTCTCAAGCAGATAGCCCTTGTGTTTGATACCTATAATGTGAAAACAAACTATTTTATCATTTTAGATTGTAACGAAGCCATCAAGCAACTTACTCTTGACGAAGATGTTTCTTTACATGACAGCAACATATGTACCTTAAAAGAAGCATCAACCACCTGCCAAGGTGACGTCGGTGGTCCTCTATCCCAAGACGGAACCGTGATCGGTATGGTCACATGGTACGTTGCTCCATGCTATTTAAAAGGAGGTCCAAATGTGTACACCAAGCTGTCTAACTTCGTGGACTGGATCGAAAAAACCGTTGCTGAAAATAGTTAAATTGTATGATTTTTAAAAATAAAGACATATTTTTTAATATTATATTTAATAATGTTGTCTTGATAGAATAAATATTAAAAGTTATTTTTAAAAACACGTATTTTTAATATAAACCTAAATACGCCTCTGTATACGTACGCGCTTGCATAAAAACGTCACAGTGCCAACACAGGCACATGTGTCACAATCTCAATTTAGTTAATGACCAGTTTCAAAGTAGGTTACTTCATTTTCAGACACACCGTGATATATTCAAAACAATGAGGTTGAATCACATACTTTGATTACTATACGGGGCAAGAGAGAGGTCCGACACGCCCAACATAGGGCGCGGCCATTTTGAACCCTGTGACACAGTTTACAGCTAAAGAATCAGATCGCTCACTCTGAGTCGGCACTTTTAATCTCAATGATTCAGTTTATACACTGTGCAACTCGGATAATACAATATATGACAACCGCCTACAATAAAACAGCAGTCTTCTGCGTATCCTGAATTTGTATCCCTGGAGTGGATGTTATTTTGGAACTGTCAACTGGTCCGAGTGAGCTAACTGATTCTTTAGCAATAAACTGTGACTCCAAAAATAATATTCACTGACACTGACAGCAGCAAGCAAAATATCAGGTGCGTTTTAATCATCCGCTTCTGCTTCGGAATTGTCGGTTTTCTTGTTTTAATCTGACAGGTTAAAACGACTATACTAAATTTGCTAGAGCACAATAATTTTACCAGTTCTTGGGCACCTATAACATTACAGACTACAGCAGTACACTTAGTTCTCTTTAGCGATATGCATTTGGCAATTTTTGAGTCTGGAAAAGCACGTTTTAGTACTTCCTCGAGACGATCGATAGTATGAAATGGTATATTGTGTTCTGCAAAACAACTGCAAATTTTTATTTCTGCTTCCTTGATTCGAATATCCATCGTTGAAGACGGAGCACTTTGCTGTACAAATTTTTCCAAAGTTGATCTTGAAGTCGACCCAACCACTTTAGTATTTGCCAAATGCTTTCTTGTTTTCATGTGGTTTTTTAGTACTGTTAATTCTGAAACCATTTCTTTCTTACAAACAGTGCATTTTGCTTTTTTTCTATCTATAAGAAATATGAAAAACAAATTTTCTAATTAAATTTTACAATGTAATTAGTTTACCCTGTACACAGTCCAATCAGTAATTAAACTCTGGAAGTTTCAACCAATCATCCCTAATACGCTGATCCCTATGCCTCTGTTTGGAACTACCTAGTTGTAGTATATTGCTTTTTAGGAGTCTGAAATGAACTACTCGAATCATCTTCAGATTCCGAATGCGAACTCATTGCTTTAACCTATGACCTATGACAGATAATTTTTATCCAACTTTTCACCAAATCCAACTAATATCCCAGACTATTATAAAACACTATGATAACCATGCAGCTATATAAACAATAAACAGTGAAATAAAACGTACCTTTTTTTGTATTTCCGAATTACAACAAATTATCACAATTCACAGTTTACAACCGTTAAAATTAAAACGACGAAATTCAATTCAATGCGATGCGATTGGATTGCTGAGCATTGTGAATATGACATGTGACATGTGACGTAACCTTGTGACCATGACCATAGAACATCTATTAGGCATTCCAAACTGAATGACTACCAGTGGGTTTTGACAGGTTATGATGTGGCAAAGTTATGGCAACTCTGTAGGCCTGGTGATTTGACAAGGTGAGTGAAATAGATAGTTACATAGATTGATCATCCCTATTTTTTAAAATAAACATAAGCTTATGCCTTGAAGTAAAAATATAAGCAATTATTATTTTTTAAATATCTAAAGTCTTAAAATTGGTTTTAAAACACATTTTTGCTAAACTGATTCAAATTAATAAATATTTGCCAGGCAATATGGCTGCTCGCAAACGACCAGCTTTGAGCAATGCATATAACATATATGTATCATTAACCCTGACAACATGACAACAGGGTTGTCATATCTAAACTGTCAGTACCCACTGGTAGCCATTTGGACAGGTCGTTGGAATGCACATACTTTGATTACTATACAAGGCAAGAGAGAGGTCCGACACGCCCAACGTAGGGCGCGGCCATTTTGAACCCTGTGACACAGTTTACAGCTAAAGAATCAGATCGCTCACTCTGCGTTGGCACTTTTGATCTCAATGTTTCAGTTTATACACTGTGCAACTCGGATAATACAATATATGACAACCGCCTATAATAAAACAGCAGTCTTCTGCGTATCCTGAATTTGTATCCCTGGAGTGGATGTTATTTTGGAACTTTCAACTGGTCCGAGTGAGCTAACTGATTCTTTAGCAATAAACTGTGTTTTCAAAAATAATATTCACTGACACTGACAGCAGCAAGCAAAATATCAGGTGCGTTTTAATCATCCGCTTCTGCTTCCGGAATTGTCGGTTTAGTCGTTTTAACCTGTCAGATTAAAACAAGAAAACCGACAATTCCGAAGCAGAAGCGTATGATTAAAACGCACCTATTAAAAATATTGCGCCAAGATGTAGGCAACACGTAATAAGGGTTCAAAATGGCGGAGTTTTCTATCTCCTTTTAAAAGGCACTCAGAAAGATGCGCAGTGCGACCATTCTCCGTATAGTAAAAGAAAATCAAAGTATGTGTTGGAATGCCTAATAAGAAAGACGAGGACGGGGACTTTTCTTTACTTGAGGCCTCAGCTGTCTAGACTATTCGGCAATTCGGCCTTGGCACGGGGACTCGTCGCGCGACAGGCGAGTAGCGCTTCGACCTAATATTTTTAAAAATCGTACACGAGGGAAATAATTGTACAAAAGCGTACGATAATAAGTTTACAATCGAACGTCGTACGAAGGATTCAAAAATCGTACAAGTACGAAGGATTCAAAAATCGTACAAGTACGATAATTATCGAACGGTTGGCAACACTGAACAGACATGCCACTGCAATAATGTTTCTATACTCTGTTTTTAAACTAAGAAGAGCGATTTGAATTTAAGTTGGCAATTCTGTAGCCTTCTGATTGGTCAGATTACAGTCAGTTTCACACATTACTTTTTTAGCATGAACATCAGCTAATAATTGATATTGCTGACAGTTCTGACATTTTATAATTTGATATCTCATCCATTACTTAGTTTTTTACTTTATTTCGTAAATAATAGTTCTTCAATAAGCAATTGTATTGAAAATTTTCAATTATGGATCCTTCTACACTGAGTACTATTAAAGGTAGCAATTCCTGAAAAGCCTTACAAGAAAGGGAAGACACATTATTTTACATGCTGATTCTGAAGGTTTTATAGAAAATGCATTATTGGTTTTTGAAGGTAAAAAGATGGGAGATTACCATGAAGAGATGAATTCCGAAGTATTTTAGAAAAAAATAATTTTATTACTGATTTTTTAAAACAAAAAATTGATGAATTTCTAACCAAAATGATTAAAATGTAACTAAATATTCAAGCAAATTTAATTTATTAGAATATAATAAAACTATTTACAAAATTTTTATAACATTTAAAACACCATCTACTACTTTAGAGATAATCTTAATTTGGCACAATGAGTTAACATTACTTTCACAAAAAATATTTTAAAAATACTTAAAATTAATACATAGGTATGTATGAATAGTTCACTTTAAAAAATATATGTTGACATGTAGTGTTATGAAAATTTTGGTTCCAGTTTTCAAAACAAATTCTGACTCATAGGCCTGTACAATTTTTGAATGCCTTTATTTGCCCTCTAGCGCATTAACCATGGGTTAAAACTAAATAAGCCATAATATCCACATTACTCATAGAAGAGATACCAGTTACTGTGTGATCCACTTGTCATTCACTGATAAACTTTTACTTTTTATACCTATAACAAATATATCCTTAAAAATGTAAACAGATATTTATATTTTATACTAACCTGGGTACATCTGGATATTCCAATAACAATTTTCTTAAATATTTAATATCCATTTTAAAAAGATCATAGTTATTCTCAAAAAGTCTATTTCAAAAGCAAGAAAAAAGTATTTCTGACATCAATCAACAACCATATTGACTTTAATTTGACAGTGATATTTCGTGACATTTCAGATCACAATAATGTGAAATTTGCGACCGTTGTCTGGGACCAATTAAAAAATTACTTCTATGACATTTATTCGTTTCTTAACCGCTCATTGGCCGTTCACCGACTAAGACCGATAAAGATAATTATTTCATAAATTTTGAACACGACTATATTTCGAAACTCGCTCTTAGTAACAAATCTAGTTACTTTTCCCTGTGTAAATGCGTCTTTTCAATTCGCTCCTCCTAGTTTAAAAACAAAGTATAACCACGTTCTATCTCAGAAGGTGGAGCTAGGGCAATGCGCGTATAAATCTGCGTAAACCAATGCGCAAATAGTTCCGGTCAGCTGAGTCGCCGAGCTGGTTGGTATGGTAAGCTGTGAGGTCTTCTAGTAGACTGGTGAACTGTTTAAAAACTTGACAGAGAAATACCTACAACATGTCAAAGTCGTCTTAAACATTTAACAATTTTATCAACTGAAAATTAATTGGCCAAAACTCTTCGACTTTTCCAAAGTAATTATTAATTCTAATTAGAAAAAAGCTTGGAAGACTATTATTAAGTAGAGGTTAATTTTTATAAATTTACCAGAAAAATATCAATAAATTAATATTTCACTTCTACGTTTATTAAACTACATAATTATTAAATATTTTCATAAATCACAAATAACTTTTTAAAATAACAGAAAATAACCATTTGCATGTGGAAATACGGCCCAGTTTCGCTAAAACATTTCTAGCCATCAGTAAATACTTGACAAACACGTTTTTTATAGTATATCTCTCTCAGCGCAATTAACTTAAGTC